ACATATATACGTACACACACATACATACGCACACACACACCTACATACATACACACACACACATACACGCACACATATATACATACACAGACACACACACACATACATACATAAAGGCAGTACATACATGCATACATACACACAAACTTACACATGTATAAACACACACGCAGACACATACACATATAAAAAGCCTATAAAACCTACCAACCAGACACACAAACAAATGCACACACACACACATGCACATACACACACAAATACACTTTCCACTGTGTGATCAATAACGTTTTGTATTATCTTACACATACAAACACACACAGTTAAAGTCATCCAAAAACAAAAACATACACACACACACAAACAGACAGTCACACTCTTACACACAAATACATAAAATCATACACACACGTACATATAGACATTCATACACACACGCTCTCACACAGATATACGCATATAAACACACACACACACAGTCATACACATATAAACACACACACACACAGTCATACGCATATAAACACACGCACACAGTCATACACATATAAACACACACACACACACAGTCATACACATATAAACACACACACACACAGTCATACGCATATAAACACACGCACACAGTCATACACATATAAACACACACACACACACACACAGTCATACACATATAAACACACACACACACAGTCATACGCATATAAACACACACACACAGTCATACACATATAAACACACACACACACACACAGTCATACACATATAAACACACACACACAGTCATACACACACAAACGGCTCTGTTGAGTCTGTAAAATGTGCTATATAAATAAATATTACTTACTCGCTGTTAAAACGTACGTGTCCTTTCTTTACTTTCAGCCAATTGCACGACTTCTGGCGTCTGGATTATTGGGAGGACGATCTGAGGAGAAGACGGAGATTTGTACGAAACGCCTTTGGATCCACTCATGCCGATATTTCACTGAAAGCTCTGGAAGATTACGGTCAGTATGAAAACCTGCTCTCTCTATGGTCTCTCTCTCTCCGTGGTCTCTCTCTCTCTCTCTCTCTTGCTCTCTTTCTCTCTCTCTCTCTCTGGTCTCCTTGGTGTCTCTCTTTCTCTTACTAGTCTCTCTCTGGTCTCTCTCTAGTCTCTCTCTAGTCTCTCTCTGGTCTCTCTCTGGTGTCTCTCTGGTATCTCTCTGCTCTCTCTCTGCTCTCTTGCTGGTCGATCTTTATCTGGTCTGTATTTGTTGCCTCTCTCTGGTCTCTCTCTTTGTTTTTCTCCAATCTTTTTTTGATCTCTCTATGGTCCCTCTCTGGTCTGTCTTTGTTGCCTCTCTCTGCTCTCTCTCTGATCTCTCCCCGGTCTCTCACTGGTCTCTCCCTCTGATTTCTCTCTAGTCTCTCTCTGGTCTCTCTGGTTTCTCTTTCTGGTCTCTGCCTGATCCATCCTTCCCTGGTCTCTCTCTGGTCTCTCTCTCCGGTCTCTCTCTGGTCTTTAACGCATTGAAAGCATGGCTCAAATGCAGAGGACATATTTCCCACATATAAGACACTTTGAGTCTTCATGGTCTAAATATTCTCAACTCCAGGGACAGAAGAAGAGGAGGAAGAGGGCGTCAAATCGAAGAAAACTTTCCGCAGCCAATCAGTGGTGGCGCAGAACCCGGAGGCGGAGCTAATGCTGGAGGGCGATGACGATGCAGTCAGTCTGCTGCAGGAGAAGGAGATCGATAACCTCGCTGGTAAGTCCGAATGTAAGTTACTTTTCTTAAATTTAATAAACACTTTCACCTCAGACACACCTCAGGAGCTGACCTTCACGACTCTCATTTCTAGCACGTTCTTGTCGTCCTCGACTTTTTACGTCCAAAGGCAAGTTCCGTGTTTGAACAGTTAGATGGTAAATACTAATACTGCTGATCGAATTTACCGCTCAAAGGTTTGAAGTCACCCATGAAATATTTTGATTATTTAAAATGGTCTTGGCCTATGGTCCTATGACAAAACAACAATATGTGAAAATATTACAAAACTTGACAATGGACTGAATAATAGGGATGGACAGAGCTAACAGAGCTAACTAGCTAGCTGAAGCCTACAGTTAAGTCCTCACGCTTAAACAATGGCTCTACTCCACGTCCATGGACATTTATTATCTTTCCTTGAAACTGGTTGTAATTCTGTAGTTTTTTTCCATTATCTTGTTTTTCTATATTAAGATTTCATTTAAGTTTGGTCCAATTAAATGTCACCAATAACAACGAACCAATCAGTTGCCTTCTATCTTCAAACTCTCTGATTTGCTAGAGCATTGTTTTTCAACCAGTGGGCCCTGGCATGTTAGTGTGCCTTGAGATGTGGTTTGGTTTCCCGTTGGAAATGACCCACTATCTCCTAATTGGTCAAAATATGGGAACAGAAAATGATGTAAAAAGATTAGAAAGACCTTTTTGCACTTGTTTGATGTTCTATTTTACACACTTTGATGAGAATGACTTCATATCGTTAATAAAGTCTGCAGAGTTTCAAGTTTGTGTTTTAGTTTTAGCTGGTGGTGTGCCACGTGATGGTTCTCAATGAATAGGCTGTGCCATGGTTCAAAAAGGTTGGGGAACAAACTGGGGCAGCTCCTTATTGGCCCGTTGGTCGTTAGGTGGTTGCTATGAGAGAATTTGTCTGTTTACACAGAGTAGTTTGAATTGTTTTTTTCTTCCAGTAAAAGTTAAATTCCTCTATGGTATCAACCCACAACTGCTGAGTCTACAGATTCTCCGTTAGCTTAAAGGATAATCAGTTTTATAGCTTCATGAATCAGCGCAATAGTTTTAAACTGGGCTAAGGTCATTATACTAGGGTTTTCTAATTAGCAAGTGACACAATGAGCAAACACAATACCATTAATGGGAACAGGGGAATGTGCCTTTGTGCTCCTGTACAGCTTTTCTATTAGCATCACCTATTTCTACATGTTATTTTCTCATTAGCAAACGACAAGTTTATCATCAAGACGTTTCAGAGTGACCTCAAACTTTTGAACAGTCTCAACTTTAACAACAGGTGATCACCACTGACATCACGTGAAACTAATGTTATAAAATCTCTCTGGTCTCTTTCTGGTCTCTCTTTAGTCTCTCTCTGGTCTCTCTCTGGTCTCTTTCTTTGATCACTCTCTGGTCTCTTTTGTCTCTCTCTGGTCTCTTTCTGGACTCTCTTTGGTCTCTCTCTGGTCTCTCTCTCTCTGGTTTCTCTCTGGTCTCTTGCTCTGGTCTCTCTCTGATGTCTCTCTGGTGTCTTGCTCTGGTCTCTCTCTAATCTCTCTTTCTGGCCTCTCTTTTGTCTCTCTCTCTGGACTCTCTTTGGTCTCAATCGCTTTGGTCTCTCTTTTGTCGCTCTCTTTGGTCTCTCTCTGGTCTCTCTCTCTCTGGACTCTCTTTAGTCTCTCTCTTGTCTCTGTCTCTTTGGTCTCTCTCTGGTTTCTCTTCTCTCTTAAGTGAATTACGCTGTAACCAAATGATCTTAATAAAAAAGGTGACAAAACCCAAACTAATCTAATCTGATTTTCTTAGTATTAACGCCACAGTCTCTTGTCTTCAGCTGTTGTAAAGTTTGTGTTTTTTATCCCAGGCCCGGTGGTTCTGAGCACACCGGCGCAGCTCGTGGCTCCGGTGGTGGTCGCTCGGGGCACGCTCTCCATCACCACCACCGAGATCTACTTTGAGGTGGACGAGGACGACCTGGCCTTCAAGAATATAGACTCTAAAGTAGGTTTTTCTACGGGATATTGGTTGATATGGAAACGAGGAACGAGGTTAAGCAAATACTAATACTTAAAAAATATTACATAAATAAGACAAGATTGTGTATGTTATGAGCATTTTTTAAATAGTTTTTACTGTTCCTGTTTTTTGATTGACTGCGGAACCTTCCGCAGTCAACCATTGGTTTTGGTTTTCTTTATTCCGTCTTTTTCCTGATTTTTGACACGTTTCACAGCTTTCACATTTTCAACAATTTCCACAAGTTATACATCAAAACGTTCCACATGTTTGGGAGATTATTGCTATTACTTTTGGGACTTCAGCGATTTCCGGTTTTTCCGCAATCGGACAAAAATCGGTCGATTTTTCCCATTGACTTATAATGGGGCTTCCACAAATTCATAGTTTTCAGAATTTTCTTCAACATTTTCAGCATTTTCTGCAGTTTGTGCATGTTCAGCTTCCACAACTTGTGAGTTTTCAGAAAAAAATAGAGTTCTGCAGTTTTCCAGTTTTTTTCTACGGGACTTGGGAATTCTGCCATTAATTTGCATTGAGAATTCTGCAATGCATTTTAATAGGCCCATGCATTTTAATAGGACTTCAGCTCTTTCAGACATTTCGTTCTACAGTTTCAAGGATTCAACAGTTTCAAGGACTTCAGCAGTTTCAAGGTTTCAAGAGTTTCAAGGACTTCAACAGTTTCAAGGACTTCAACAGTTTCAAGGACTTCACCAGTTTCAAGGACTTCAGTGTAATCATGCAACCTAATAGGGATTTTTCCATGTAAACCAGTATAATGCAACTTAATAGGGGTTTTTACATGTAAACCAGTATAATGCAACTTAATGGGGATTTTTCCATGTAAACCAGTATAATGCAACTTAATAGGGGTTTTTACATGTAAACCAGTATAATGCAACTTAATAGGGTTTTTTCCATGTAAACCAGTATAATGCAACTTAATAGGGATTTTTCCATGTAAACCAGTATAATGCAACTTAATAGGGATTTTTCCATGTAAACCAGTATAATTCAACTTAATAGGGGTTTTTACATGTAAACCAGTATAATGCAACTTAATGGGGATTTTTCCATGTAAACCAGTATAATGCAACTTAATAGGGGTTTTTACATGTAAACCAGTATAATGCAACTTAATAGGGTTTTTTCCATGTAAACCAGTATAATGCAACTTAATAGGGATTTTTCCATGTAAACCAGTATAATGCAACTTAATAGGGTTTTTTCCATGTAAACCAGTATAATGCAACTTAATAGGGATTTTTCCATGTAAACCAGTATAATGCAACCTAATAGGGATTTTTCCATGTAAACCAGTATAATGCAACTTAATAGGGGTTTTTACATGTAAACCAGTATAATGCAACTTAATGGGGATTTTTCCATGTAAACCAGTATAATGCAACTTAATAGGGGTTTTTACATGTAAACCAGTATAATGCAACTTAATAGGGTTTTTTCCATGTAAACCAGTATAATGCAACTTAATAGGGATTTTTCCATGTAAACCAGTATAATGCAACTTAATAGGTATTTTTCCATGTAAACCAGTATAATGCAACTTAATAGGGTTTTTTTTCATGTAAACCAGTATAATGCCACTTAATAGGGTTTTTTTCATGTAAACCAGTATAATGCAACTTAATGGAGATTTTTCCATGTAAACCAGTATAATGCAACTTAATATGGGTTTTTACATGTAAACCAGTATAATGCAACTTAATAGGGTTTTTTTTTTACATGTAAACCAGTATAATGGAACTTAATAGGGTTTTTTACATGTAAACCAGTATAATGGAACTTAATAGGGGTTTTTACATGTAAACCAGTATAATGGAACTTAATAGGGGTTTTTACATGTAAACCAGTATAATGCAACTTAATAGGGATTTTTACATGTAAACCAGTATAATGCAACTTAATAGGGATTTTTCCATGTAAACCAGTATAATGCAACTTAATAGGGTTTTTTACATGTAAACCAGTATAATGCAACTTAATGGGGATTTTTCCATGTAAACCAGTATAATGCAACTTAATAGGGGTTTTTACATGTAAACCAGTATAAAGGATAACAGTTTAAAGGATATCAGGAGCTTCAAATACTTCAGGAGTTTCAAAGATGTTTAAAGTATTTTAACAGTTTCAAGGATTTCAAGGATTTTTCAGCTAAATTCCACATTAGATCTGGTCCGCAGTCAATCGCAATGGCTTCAGCCATTGCAAGTTTCTAGTTTTGTAAATGAAAGTCAAATACAAAGTGTTACGGCCCGGCTCGTGGAATCGCAACAAAAGAGGGAGGACACGAGAACTGGAGCGTTTTAGACCCTCGATGGGGCTTATAATGTAATTAAGGGTGTATTCAGACCTGCGCTTTTGGTCCACTTTAAAACGGACCAGGATTCGTTTGTGTGTAATCATACCTGCAAAAAAGGTCCAGATCAGAGTTCCAAACGAATCCTGGTCCGGACCAAAGAACCGGACCGACACTACCTAAAAAAGTGGGTCTCGGTCCGGTTTCCAAACAAACTCTGGTCCAAGTCGATTCAAGTCTGAATACAACCGGTGTCAATTCGACACAACTCCAGGATACGTGCACATTTTTTGACCTTAAGAAGCCACCGCAGACAGAAACTGAGGAATTAGCCACGCGTCGAGCTGCTAACGCATGCTACACAACAACAATGAGCCTTGGGCAGACCTGGAGCAACGAGTGGACACTGTGCCTCCTTGAAATTTGGGCAGAGGCACCCGACTTCTGGAAAAGACACACAAAAATGTGGCCATTTTGCTCTAAAAAGCGCAAACATAGGCAGAAAAAAACCTACAAGCTCAATATTTTCCTCCATTTCCGCATCTATTCTCCGTGAGCTCTTGCTGTCCAATAGGAGCGCCGATCGTCACACGCGTCAATATGTTTATAAAAAAGTTCACTTGGTAAAAGTGAGTCTGAATACAAACCGGAGCAAAAGAAAAATGTTTGGTCCACTTTTGGTTTGGACCAAGCAAGCGGACCAAAGGACTCTGGTCTGAATACACCATAAAAATGATGCATGTAATCAGTGTAGGTGAATCGTATGTTGTGTGGGTGCAGGGTGTTGCATATGAAAGTCAGTAAGATAACCTGGTGTAGTGCAAATGGCGTGTTGTAGTGCGTGTAAATGTACAAAAAGGGTAGCGTGGCGCTATGGCTGGTAAGGTCAGACCACAGGCTGGTGGCGGCGATCTGGGCACACCGACGAGTGCCCAGAAGCCAGGTGAGAGAGTGATCGGAAGCCACTTTTCGAAGCATCCGGGAGCCTCACATGACCTCCTGTCCGCCTCCTATCGTCTCTCCTCATGTTAATGCACTGCCACCACAGCACCAGAGGGGGCGTCACACAAAGTTATTTAGATTAGATTTTAAGCAGCAGACTGACATGAGGTTAACAACTGGCAAGAATCCGGGTCCTCATAGGAATGTGGATCGGGCCGGATGTTGTCCCCGGGCCACACTTTGCCCAGGTCTGCCTTGGATACTACAGCTGTCATATCTCTGTGTATCTCAGGTTCTGGGCTACACCGAGGGGCTGCATGGGAAGTGGATGTTCAGTGAAATCCGGGCAGTGTTTTCGAGACGTTACCTGCTGCAGAACACCGGGCTGGAGGTCTTCATGGCCAACAGAAGTAAGTCTCCTGGAGGTTACACAGATACAGAAGCAGACAAGTATAGTTAGTTTGTTAGTTAGATACTTTATTGATCCCCGTAGGAGAAATGCAGGTGTCCAGTAGGAACAAAAACACATCCATCCAAACAAACAAAACAAATGAATTGATTTTTCCAAAAAGTTAAAAATAGTAATAATAAGAAACAGCACTTCTGGTAACATCTGTATTAATGCACTTGTTGTTGTATGACATTTATACAAAAATAATAGACCCTATCATTCAACTTACATTGTGAGACCGATATATGATACAGACAAAATGCAAAATCACTCATGCATTTGTTTGTAATCATATTGATGATGGTTTGCTTAGTCTATTCTCAAAATAGTCTCATTTTCGGATCTGTATCTTTGGTTTTAAAGCTATTAGTCCGTTATAAACATCAAAACAAATACGTTATGCTGATATGTGTGTAACTGTGTGTAACTGTGTGTGTCCTGCTCCAGCGTCTGTGATGTTTAACTTCCCGGACCCAGGGACAGTGAAGCGGGTGGTGTACAGTCTGCCCCGAGTGGGAGTGGGAACGAGCTACGGTCTCCCCCAGGCCAGGTCCCTCACTTTACTATTTCACATTTATTACACTGTTTTTTTACTGATGCACTGAATGTTTTGTAAATGAGCTGAACTCCTCTATCCATCACTTATATCAGGGATGTCAAACTTATTCTTGTCGGGGGCTAAGTTCAAAAACATTAGAGCCATAGAGCCATTTGAGCATAGTATAAAATGCCATAGAATCTCACTACCCTCAGTGCTTCAAGTTACTGTAATAATAATCATCGAAAATCCTTTCTGGGGCCACTAGAAATGGTCTTGCGGGCCGGATTTGGCTCATGGGCCTGAGTTTGACATGCCTGACTTATATCCGGGTTTTCTTGTTGCTAGGCGGATTTCTTTAGCCACTCCTCGTCAGCTTTTCAAATCCTCCAACATGACGCAGCGCTGGCAGAGAAGAGAAATCTCCAACTTCGAGTACCTCATGTTCCTGAACACAATCGCAGGTACGACAAGAACTAAATATGTTTTTTTGTTTTCAAATGTGTTTACATTTATTACAATCACTCACTCAATCAATCACACTTTTTTGTCAATCACAATCTTTAAAAACTGCTTCACAAAACTAGTCAACAACCAACAATAACTTTGGAGATAAACCTGGATTTGAACAATGTCAGAGAAGAAGCCTGTGTCATGTTTTCAGGAAGACTGTTCCAGATTTTAGCTGCATTAATCTGAAATGCTGCCTCCCCATGTTTATTCCTGACTCTGGGACCAGCAGGAGGCCAGTCCCTGTGCTCATCAGAGTCCCAGCAGGAGGCCAGTCCCTGTGCTCATCAGAGTCCCAGCAGGAGGCCAGTCCCTGTACTCATCAGAGTCCCAGCAGGAGGCCAGTCCCTGTGCTCCTCAGAGTCCCAGCAGGAGGCCAGTCCCTGTACTCATCAGAGTCCCAGCAGGAGGCCAGTCCCTGTGCTCATCAGAGTCCCAGCAGGAGGCCAGTCCCTGTGCTCCTCAGAGTCCACAGCAGGAGGCCAGTCCCTGTGCTCATCAGAGTCCCAGCAGGAGGCCAGTCCCTGTGCTCCTCAGAGTCCCAGCAGGAGGCCAGTCCCTGTGCTCATCAGAGTCCCAGCAGGAGGCCAGTCCCTGTGCTCCTCAGAGTCCCAGCAGGAGGCCAGTCCCTGTGCTCCTCAGAGTCCCAGCAGGAGGCCAGTCCCTGTGCTCATCAGAGTCCACAGCAGGAGGCCAGTCCCAAGGCCAATCTCCAAGTCTGCTGTAGACATTTTACTTTGGATGACAATGCTCAGGTCATTTTTACTCTAAAGTTTATCACATAGTTCCATTCATTTAAAGTTAGGGCTAAAATCTGGAACAGTCTTCTTGAAAATGTGAGACAAGCTTCTTCTCTGAAATTGTTCAAATCCAGGTTAATATTTCTGTTTAGCTGCAACAACTGTAGGACTGTATCTTTCCTCTTTTGATTACACCGTGATTAAGTTTTTTTTAATGTCTGGTGTGACCGTCTCCATCTCGTTTTGTTCAGCACATTGAGTGTATGAACTGTGCTATACGAATAAACTTGCCTTGCCTTACTTTCCACAAGCACTTTACACATCACATAACATCAGTACAACTCGCCCATCGCCGTCTTTCTGTCGTAGCAATTTCACATTTTCCATTATTCTTTTCTTTGCTTCCAAACATCCACAGTATTCCATTGAAAAAGAAAAATGCAGACTCACTTGTTTTTCTCCATTTACACTTGAAAACCAAAGCATGGTACGTGACATCACATCGCTGTTGTGGAAGAGATAAAGAATGGATTTAAATATAGATTATTGTTTGGCAGCCACCTCAGCAGCAATCTCCATAGAAATCCCCTGAATCCCAGTGTTTTCTCTGTGACCTGAGTTTGTGCTGATGCTTTCAAACACTGCAGACTCCCCTTTCCAGTCGAAAACAATGAACTACTTAATATTCTTATGTTGTGACTAGACTTAACAATGTACTAAACTAAGCTAAACTAAACTAAACTAAGCAAGTGTAAAATGTCTAGCTTTAGCATAATAAAGAAGCTAGTATAAAATCTTGAATAGTCTATTGTAAGAAACGCATGGAATCTCCCTCAAATAGTGTATTTTTCAATCTTAAAATCTACAAACCAGTCACACGTTGGTACAGACAGTAACAGCTGGTGTGGTTTCAAAGTTGCGTACCCTAGCTTTAAGTCAAGGCACAGCTACAGACGAGAATTTTCCATGAATTTTTAAAAGCTAGTTTGTCAGGAACTGTATCTTTTCCCATCTGTGTCTGTGTCAGGGAGGACTTACAACGACTTGAACCAGTACCCGGTGTTTCCCTGGGTTTTGACAAACTACGACTCAGAGGAGCTAGATCTGACGCTGCCCGGAAACTTCAGAGATTTGTCCAAGGTAGAAATGTTTAAATTAATATGTAAAAATGTCTTTTTTCATTTTGTTGGTATTTACTGCATCTGCATATGGTCTTGTCTTGTTCTTTGTCTCTGTGTTTTTGTGTATGTAACTTTTGTTTTGGAGCCGTTTGGCCGAGAAACAGTAACGCTCTCAATCCATAATAGATATATAAATACTAGTAGCTAATATCTATATATATATATATATTTTCACATATACCTAACTTGAACCCTTTACTCATTGACTGCCAGCCGTTTTAGATGATTTCACTGATTTTCACGACCTACAGAATATTGCGTGCGATGACTATGGTAAATATGAAACCAGATTCTGAAAGACTGGATTGTCTACTTTCATCAGCAAAAATAAGTTGTTTTTAGATGTTTTAGCTAGTTTTGTTCTCCTGTAATCCCCCGTCGAGTACAGGGAAGTTTGACAGGAAATCACCAGTCTCAGACAAATGCGTCAATGGCAGTCGATGAGTTCATGTTTTATTCTCCTCAAAAGTCTTGATTTGAGTTTTTTTTGCAGAATGTTAGATAAGATTAAGAACGACCTACTCAGTGTTCTTTCATAGAGTTGGTTGACATCTTACTATCTGAAATTCCAAAAAGTGATGAAAAATAAGTAAGAAATTGCTCAAATTTGTCAAATGTATCTTCATTTGAGCCCATTCTGACTGAGCCTTAAAACAACATTTGCCAATGGGACAAAGCAAAATAATCTTGTTTTAATAACATCAGATTCAGATTTATCTTTTATGCCATTTGCAGTAAAACCACATTGGAAAACATTTGCAAAAGTTCAGTCTTGATTTAACACAGTCAAGAATGAACTCAAATTAAGATAAATTACTACCTCATACTGTATGATGTTGAAGTTTGAACAGTCTTGCATGTACAGTGCCTTGCGAAAGTATTCGGACCCCTTGAACCTTTCAACATTTCGCCACATTTCAGGCTTCAAACATAAAGATATAAAATTTTAATTTTTTGTCATGAATCAACAACAAGTGGGACACAATCGTGAAGTGGAACGAAATTTATTGGATAATTTAAACTTTTTTAACAAATAAAAAACTGAAAAGTGGGGCGTGCAATATTATTCGGCCCCTTTACTTTCAGTGCAACAAACTCAGTCCAGAAGTTCAGTGAGGATCTTTGAATGATCCAATGTTGTCCTAAATGACTGATGATGATAAATAGAATGCACCTGTGTGTAATCAAGTCTCCGTATAAATGCACCTGCTCTTTGATAGTCTCAGGGTTCTGTTTAAAGCGCAGAGAGAACCATGAAGACAAAGGAACACACCAGGCACGTCCGAGATGCTGTTGTGGAGAAGTTTAAAGCCGCATTTGGATACAAAAAGATTTCCCAAGCCTTGAACATCTCAAGGAGCACTGTGCAAGCAATTATATTGAAATGGAAGGAGTATCAGACCACTGCAAATCTACCAAGACCCGGCCGTCCCTCCAAACTTTCATCTCAAACAAGGAGAAGACTGATCAGAGATGTAGCCAAGAGGCCCATGATCACTCTGGATGAACTGCAGATAACTACAGCTGAGGTGGGAGAGTCTGTCCATAGAACAACAATCAGTCGTGCACTGCACAAATCTGGCCTTTACGGAAGAGTGGCAAGAAGAAAGCCATTTCTCAAAGATATCCATAAAAAGTCTGGTTTAAAGTTTGCCACAAGCCACCTGGGAGACACACCAAACATGTGGAAGAAGGTGCTCTGGTCAGATTAAACCAAAATCAAACCTTTTGGCCACAATGCAAAACGATATGTTTGGCGTAAAAGCAACACAGCTCATCACCCTGAACACACCATCCCCACTGTCAAACATGGTGGTGGCAGCATCATGGTTTGGGCCTGCTTTTCTTCAGCAGGGACAGGGAAGATGGCTAAAATTGATGGGAAGATGGACTGAGCCAAATACAGGACCATTCTGGAAGGACCATTTATCTTCCAACAGGACAATGATCCAAAACATAAAGCCAAATCTACAATGGAATGGTTCACAAATAGACGTATCCAGGTGTTAGAATGGCCAAGTCAAAGTCCAGACCTGAATCCAATCGAGAATCTGTGGAAAGAGCTGAAGACTGCTGTTCACAAACGCTCTCCATCCAACCTCACTGAGCTCGAGCTGTTTTGCAAGGAAGAATGGGCAAGAATTCCAGTCTCTCGATGTGCAAAACTGATAGAGACATACCCCAAGCGACTTGCAGCTGTAATTGCAGCAAAAGGTGGCGCTACAAAGTGTTAGCGCAAGGGGGCCGAATAATATTGCATGCCCCACTTTTCAGTTTTTTATTTGTTAAAAAAGTTTAAATTATCCAATACATTTCGTTCCACTTCACGATTGTGTCCCACTTGTTGTTGATTCTTGACAAAAAAAATAATTTTTATATCTTTATGTTTGAAGCCTGAAATGTGGCGAAATGTTGAAAGGTTCAAGGGGGCCGAATACTTTCGCAAGGCACTGTATGTACTGTATGTGTTATGTGTGTAACTATGGTAACTCTCTCTCTCTTCCTGAAGCCAATTGTGTATTTATGTATGTATGTATGTGTGTACAGTATGTGTGTGTGTGTAACTATGGTAACTCTCTTCCTGCAGCCAATCGGAGCGCTGAACCCTAAGCGCGCCGCCTTCTACGCTGAACGCTACGAGACGTGGGACGACGACAGCACTCCTCCTCATCACTACACCACGCTGTACTCCACGGCTCACTCCACTCTGCAATGGATGCTCAGAATAGTACGATACCACACTTTTCACTCGTTCATCAAGTATCCGAGTACTGTAATCCTACTCTATCAAAACAAATGTGCCTTTAATAATAGCTTTGGGCTCATTAATTTGCTCCAGTCCTCTAGAAATGTTCTGTATATTAAGATTAAGATTAAGAGATCCTTTATTCCTTTAATCTCTATCTCTAACATAAGAAGTGCGTAAACATGTGATGGAAGCACAGGGTCAGTAGAGGGCGCTGTCTTAGTGGCCACAGGGGGCAGTGTGGTGTGTGTCTGTGATTGAGGAATGACATGGAAAGTCAAGTATATTTGAATGGATCTGTTTGTGTGATTCAGTTTTAACTCAAATATACTTTCCACAACTATATTTAATAGTAATAATAATAAGAATCATAATAATAATAATAATAATGTATTGGTTTTACACAGCGTTTTTCAGGACACTCAAAGACGCTTCACTTCACTTCTTTCACTCCATACACAGTGGTGATAAACTACTGCTGAAGCCAGAACTGCCCTGGGGCACACTGACAGAAGCGAGGCAACCAGTTTGTACAATTGGCCCCTCCCACCACCACCAACCATTCACACACACACCAGACTCATTTAAGTTCCCATTGAAAAGCCAACCTCAGTTCATCCTCAATTCCTGGATATTCCCATAATTTCCTGGTGATTCCCTTAAATTCCCAGGGAACGTTTCCATCTTTGAAAATTCCTGGCATGTTTTTGACCGTGTTTGAACCATGTCTCTTGTAACCCGTGAGTCTCTTGTGTCTGCAGGAGCCTTTCACCACGTTTTTCCTGAACGCCAATGAAAACAAGTTTGACCATCCAGACCGCTGCTTCTCTGGGATCGGGCGCTCGTGGAGGAACTGCCAGAGGGACACGGCTGACGTCAAGGTGCGAGCGACAACACAAGGGTATCTGTTAGGGCTGGGCGATATGGCTGAAAACTATATCACAATATAAGTGATTCATATCTGTCGATATTGATAATTATTGATTGTTTTTTTTAAACCTAAATAAATAAATTTCTCGTGTCTGCTAACACACGGGGAATGAGAACTCAGGCTGGAGGCATACAGTATGTTCACAAGCACAGTGTCCCCCATTGTTAGTCCTGGTTTAATCCTAGTTTAGTCCTGGTTTTGTCCCAGTTTAGTCCTGGTTTTGTCCCAGTTTAGTCCTGGTTTTGTCCCAGTTTAGTCCTGGTTTAGCTCTTGTTTTGTGTTCCCGTGACGGCTCTGTGCGGCTCTCTGATAGCCGCACGTGCTTCCAGAGGAAAAAGTTCATCTCTTGCTTTTGCCGAATGCGTCGGGTCTCTGTGTCCACTGCCTCTCCCGCCGCACATGCTATTCCTCACACGGACGTGCATAACTATTGACACGGCATCGAAACACGATCTATTGATCCACGAACGTAATGAATGATGCGTTAATTTTATTTTTTTGCATTTCCTAGAATGTTTTGCGGTTCATGCTCGTATTTGTTGGAGACTGGTGATTTCTGTCAAACATCCATCTATTCGACGGGGGATTACAGGAGAACAAAACTAGCTAGAAGCAGACTTATTTTTGCTAATGAAAGTAGACAGTCCGGTCTTTCAGAATCTTGTCTCATATTTCACATAGCCTTAGCACATAATATTCTATGGGTCTTGCGAATCAGTGAAATAATCAAAAACAGCTGGCAATCAATGTGAAAAATAAAATAGCAATTACCAAATTATCAATCATGAAGACAATGCAGCAATTTTAAAACTGGAGTAATATAGTCTCGAACCCCTGGTGTTAGTTTGGATTTGCCTGGTTTTACATGATCCTTGTGGACCCAGTGAAACGAATAGACATGTGTTATTGTGTGTTGTTTTTGAGACGTGTGGGTCTAACAGCAGCTGTGTGTTCCTTCAGGAGCTGATCCCAGAGTTCTACTACCTCCCAGAGATGTTTGTGAACAGTAACGAGTACGAGCTGGGTCTGCGGGACGACGGGGCTCCGGTCTGCGACGTGGAGCTGCCGGTTTGGGCCAAGAAACCAGAGGACTTTGTGCGGATAAACAGAATGGTGAGAGCAGACGGTTTTTTGAGTTTTAACCACAGTGTTCCCTTGGTTAAAATCACACCTGGAGATAGCTTAGCGGCGGTGTTAGTTAGTCAAGATGCTAGTGCAGGGGTCTCCAACCTTTTTCAATCGAAGAGCTACTTTTATACAACTAAAGAGGCAGAGAGCTAGTCATTTTTGCGGTCATAATGAAACTATGTAATAATTATGATTAAAAATACCATAATACTGTATAACCCCATATTTATATTTATAATAGATGTGTGACTCAAAAATGAGTCATTCAAGATCATGTGTCAAATTCTAAATCCTTTGGAGAGATACAGGTTGAGACTCCTGTGCTAGTTTTTTCATAGAGCCAAAATGCAAGACTCTATCTCACTCAGATGTTCTCGACATGGAAAATAATATGTATGAAGTTTTGAATCAAAAAGTATTTTAACCATGGTTCTGCGAGGATCATGCACATTTTACTTTTATTTTGTTCATCAATTTTGTTTTATTTTTTTACTGAAGTTGCTCCGTTCAATTCAATGTATGTAAAAGTAGTTCTGAAAGATAAGAAAGTCTAAGGAGACATTTCAAAACACCAGTAGGCGAACTTCAAGTCATTGCAGCACTTTTAAACCTGGTCTGATGTGTTCTCTCCCCTTGGTCTTAGTCGGGACTTGGAGTTTTGTAGTAATTCTAAACCTGACATGATCCTGAAAGACCAGAGAGCAGGGCATTACAGTAGTCTAGACTAGTTCTTAAAAGCTTAGTCAGTTTACGTGTATACAGTATATCTTATAGTTGCTTTCAGATTCTTCAGTCCTTGCTTTAATAAAATGCCTGTATACATATCTCTTACATGCAGCCCTATACGTTGTCATGACGATTCTCTTCTTCTTTGTCCTGGAGGCTCTGGAGAGTGAGTTTGTGTCGTGTCAATTGCACCAGTGGATCGACCTGATCTTCGGCTACAAGCAGCGAGGACCTGAAGCCGTGCGAGCGCTTAACGTCTTCGACTTCATGTCCTACGAAGGAGCGGTCAGTCTGGACACGGTGGAGTCTGCACAGCGGGAGGTCAGTCCACCACACACAGATGTTATGGGAAAACACACAGTATAAAAAATAAAGTCCCTCAGCAGCTGAATGGTACACACACAGTGATATGTTTATATTGGGAGCAAAACATCAGATTGTTGTCAAAATCCTGGGTTGGACAAGTCTGGTCTTAGCCATCGGTAAACTCTGGTCCGTGATCATGTCCTACATGTACGTCTGGGTCTGATCCTTGTGGCTGCAGTTTCCTCGGTTAAATCCCCTCCGACCAATCAGAGAGCGGGGGAGGCGGGTGTTGTAGGTCGGTGTTGGTGACGTCAAGAGTTTGCGTCAAATTTGCTGGTTGTAGTTTGGCGGAGAATGCGATAGTGAAGTAAACTGTTCTGGTTCGGCTCCAAATATCAAGAAATTGAAGGTGGAGCAAGAGGAATGTCTGTTAGTGGTAAAGGAGATGGCTAAAGCTAGGCTAGATGCTAAATGCCTCACTCACTCGGGCTCATTACATACGTCACGGTAAACTCAGTTCTAATCGTTTCAATCTGCAAAAGGAGTTAACCCCTCCCACCAGTTAACAGAGTCAATGGAGCACCTCCAGACCTAAGTACGAAATGAAATGAGTACTATGGTGTGGTAAGACCAGGCTAGGACCACACGGCTCCTCTGTGTCAAATCTGTACTTAATTGAAAGTTGTTTAGATGCAGAAAGCTCAGAGAATATTGGAATATTTATACATTTGACCAAAACAAAGTGATGTTGACCCTGGAGAACGTTGTCATGGAGATGTACTTTTATGATTATTAAGATTAAGATGAAGAGAAGCTTTATTCGTCCCACTATGGGGAAATTTCAGTGTTGCATCACATGTTACAGAACAAAACAGTGAGTTATTTGAAGGGGAATCCGACCTATTAGACCTAAACCTATTAGACCTATTAGAGATGAGCTCTTTGATGGTTTATTCTGTTTTTGTCCTCTCTCCATCTGCTGCGGTCTGAGATGATTGTGCTCAAAACAATCGTTAACACACATTTGCAGAGTATTGATCTTTCTTTGTTTTCGTCTGAGAGAGAGAGAAGGAACCGAATAAATAGACACACGCACACACACACACACACACAGACATACGACACACAGAGACACACACACCCACGCACACACACTCTCTCACACAAACACGCACACACACACACACATGCACACACAGACACACACACATAGATTATGGGATGAATGACATGAAATTAAAAGGTAAATTTGCATATTTACTATACATATAAGTTATATAGGTAGTAGTGATAGTAGTAATAGTAGACAAAGCTTATTTGGCTCCAACCCTTCTCACTCGTTCAACACACACACACACACACACACACACTCAGAGGCACAGACACAGACACACACACACACACACACACTCACACTCAGAAGCACAGAAACGGACACACACACATAGATACAGATACAGACACTCAAGCGCACACACAAACCAATACGTACACATGCGCACACACACACACACTCAGACGCACAGACACACACACAAACATACATACAGACACAGACACTCAAGCACACACACAAACACACAAACAAACACGTACATGTGCACAAACACACACACTCAGAGGCACAGACACACACACACACACCTCTGTTTCGTAGTAGTCTTTGCTTCAGAACTGCTTCAGGCAATAGACTTACAGTAAGTTGTCTTGACTTCATAAACTTCTATCTGAAACTCTTTTTGTTTCTTTGATTCTATTTGCTTTTTTTGGTAAGAGAAATACTGGTTTTGTTCCTCAAATTTCAGCACAGTATATGTCAAGTATTGCAATGTCAAGGAGCATTACAATCCAACACCTCTGTAGCTCTGTCTAAAATACCAACACTTTTACTTATTTTACTTTTACAGTATACGTCCTAACACATATACTTGGTTTGTGTTTGTGGTTGTGTGTGTGTGTGTGTGTGTGTGTGCAGCTAATGGAGGCTCAGATCCAGCTCTGTGGGCAGATCCCGTCTCAGCTGCTGATCGAGCCGCACCCGCCCCGCTCCTCGGCCATGCACCTGGTGAGTTATGACCAACCAGAACAAACTTGACCAAACTGTGATGTCACAGCATTGTGCCCTGATCAAAAACTTGCAGTTTTTAGCTCAGTTCAAACATCAGTGTTTGTCAAAGTGTTATATACACTGCAAAAAGCGATGGAAAAAAAGTCAGAAATTGCTCAAATTTGGCTAAATGTGAGCTGTTTTTGTTATTTATGACACTCTTGTTTATAAGAAAAGTGAGGACAGCGTCTGATTACCTGCATGCACTGCCCTCTGGTGGACAAAACACTAACCTCTATAACTTTTTATACCTACGGAGATATTCCCAGCATTTATTGGTCAAAATATCAATTTTTTTATATATTTGAATTTTACTTTTAATAAAACAATGACATTCAAATATGGTTTTTGAGCTTTGAGTTTTTGAGTCCCAGCCCTAATGTCTCTCAGATTCAGATTAAGATGAAGTGAGCTTTTATTTGTAGCCACAGTGGGGACATTTCGGTGTTGCATCAAAAGTTACAGAACAGTAGGAAAGATTAGCACATGGCACAAGATAAATTAACAATATTAAAATAAAATAAAATCTCTAACTCTAGCATCAAAGAATAAGTATAAAATCTCAATCTAGAACATAATAATAATAATATAGAAGTATAACACTTAGACATTTGGCAAAATAAGAGGCAAGTATAAAGTACTGTGTATTCTAGGAGATTTTGACATGTTCCTGTCTTCCTATTATGGTGCAAAGTGACACGAGTCCAAACAACACGCAAACCTTTCCCTTGGTCGTCCATTGCTGGAAAATATTAGTAGCTGTGTCCCCGAAAACAGACTCCCATCTCCCCTCGGAATCACCACCAGACCTCCACCTCAGTGTGTTGACCTGTGACCCTGTAGACTCCCACTAACGAGACCTCCCCCCCCCCCCTCCTGCCCCGTCTGTGCCTCCCCCCTCTCGCCCCTCTCGCCTCTCTCGCCCCTCTCGCCCCTCTCGCCCCTCTCCTCCTTCTCTCTCTGTCTCTCTCACTAGTGTTTCCTTCCCCAGAGCCCGTTGATGTTTAAGGATCAGATGCAGCAGGACGTGATCATGGTCCTGAAGTTTCCATCCAACTCGCCGGTCACCCACGTGGCGGCGAACACCCTCCCCCACCTCAGCATCCCCGCCGCCGTCACGGTCACCTGCAGCCGTCTGTTCGCCGTCAACCGTTGGCACAACACCGTCGGTGAGTTTGTTTTGTATAGCACAGTTTGTACACAAGGAAACTCAAAGGGCTTAAAAAAAGATACATTAGAGACATTAATAATCACAGTGCATTATAAAGACTAAAGATACAGTTTTTCAGTCGTATGCACTGCTAATCTGTTTTAACCTGGATTTTAACATTTTGAAATTATGTATTTTTTATTTATTTGACAGGGACATTGCACAATAAATGTATTGTTCAGACCCGACATAGCTACTAGTTAATTTTCATCCGTAGGCAAAGTGACAGCAGGTTTTTAGTGAGAAAGGAATAAACAAATACATCTGCCTCCCCATGTTTAGTCCTGACCCTGGGACCAGCAGAAGGCCAGTCCCTGTGCTTCTCAGAGTCCCAGCAGGAGGCCAGTCCCTGTGCTCCTCAGAGTCCCAGCAGGAGGCCAGTCCCTGTGCTCCTCAGAGTCAGAGTTGGTACATATAGTTCTAACATGTCTCAGATGTACTTTAAGCTCCTCATTTCCCAAACAGACATGTGAATTGTGACGACCAACAACATCAAAGTCTTGATTTGTTGTTGTTTGAAATCTGAAATATTCTAAAGTAACACTTAAAGAGTTCAAATTAACACATTCCCAGTATTGCTCCTAGACATGTTTAAAAAGGGATGAATCGCACTGAAACTACTGAAATATAATCCTAATTTTCATGTTTTCTCCCAAACCTCCTCCACTTGTAGAAGAGAAGGAGCGATTGTAAAGTGCTTTGTGACTGTACCTGTGAAGGCGCTATATAGATAAAGATGTACTCACTTCCTGCACTTGTCCCAGGACCCTCTGTCTGGCCTCAGCCGTCTGTCCCTGTGAGCTCTCAGTACCCTGGTCACGCCGCATGCTAGCCTCGATCGCAGCTTGTGGACGCATAAACAACGGCCCATCAGTGTTTTCATTTGGTTCATTAATGCCTTGATTAAGCAGAGACTAATTAGCAAACACAGAGAAGCAGCCGGGGAGGTGAGGGGGAGGCAGCTCGTGACTTTCAGGTCCCTCTCCCACCGCACGACTGGAACAAAAAGCTCCATTAGGCTTTGATGCAGAGAGCGTCCATTCAGAACGTGTGATGATAGTTTTACTTTAGCTAATGTTAGCTTCCTGTTTGTGTTTTGCCGCAGGTCTCCGTGGAGCTCCTGGATACTCCCTGGAGCAGGCGCATCATCTGCCCATCGAAATGGATCCACTGATCGGTCAGTATCACTCACTTTATAATAACGTCTTACCAGATTAGAGATACACTAAAAAAAATGATAAAATATGAGGTGATCATTGCCTGAATCAACTGGTTTTTATCTTAATTTGAGTGTTACACTTGAAAAAAAATCATGAAAGTAAGTAAAACACTGCTTGAAATAAGAAAAATGATCTGTCAATAGAATTCTATTTTAAAAACATACATTTCAAGTATTATTTACTTATTTCCAACACATTTTTGAGAAATGTTTTCTTGCGTGATAAACTGAATTCAAGCAAAATAATACAAAAAATGTGTAGCTTTAGCATAATAAAGAATTAAGTCTAAAATCTTTGACTTTATCTTTATTCTTTATTATCTATTCTTTTGTCGCTGTGATTTCCTTCAGACCTCTTTGTAACGTGTCCTCGTGTGTCTTTGTCTCCAGCGAATAACTCTGGAGTGAACAAGCGTCAGATCACGGACCTGGTGGACCAGAGCATCCAGATCAACACGCACTGTTTTGTGGTTACCGCCGACAACCGCTACATCCTGGTCTGCGGATTCTGGGACAAGAGCTTTCGAGTGTACTCCACCGAAACTGGTGCGTGTGTGAAGAGCTGATCCAGCAGCGATAACAACTCAATCGTTTATAATTACCAAGGCCTGAGGGAGCGGGTTGTTTACATATGTGTTTAAAACTAAGCTAGTTTTATGGTTCGACTGATGCAGTCGTACAAGTCATATTAGAGCCAATTACTGAGAAGGGAATTCTGTATATAGATAAGTCAACAGAGGTAAAACATATGCTGCCTGTTCATTTGCCCGGTGACTTCTGGAAAGCTTAGCAAGGCAAGTTTATTTTTATAGGACTATTCATACACAGCTACTGGTATGGTTTATACTTTTGAATGGGCTGGAAAAAGGCAGCAAGTACTAAGTAACTCTGAAACATTTGTTGTTTTGAGTTTTACAATTGTTATTTTTATTGCTTTTCTCTGCCTCAGATGTTGCTGCAGTACAGTGTTCATGGTTTTACACTGGTCCAGACCAGCGCAGAGAGCATTCATGGTTTGAACCAAGTGGATCAGGCGAAAATCCACTGGAGGAATGCTAACTTTTTTTAAAATGCTAATGAAGCATTTATTTTACTTTGGACTAGAGCAGAGAAAATGGTCTGAACCAAGCAGCGGCTCCACCTCTGCTGCTGTGACCTGAAGGACTGTTGTATTTTATTATTACTACAATTAGCTTTTTATAATAATCAATTCATTTTGGTCTCTGTCCCTTTTGGACCAATGATTTTAAGTGTTTGTTTTCATTGCATTTCCTGTGTTTGAACTGTTTGATTCTCTGATCTGTGTTGGCCAATCGACATCTTTGTAAATTCCTCAGAGAAAACTACTTTTGTGGTTTAGGGAGATTGACAAATGAATTGAGTTGTATTGAAGCAGTGGCCTCGTCTCTGCAGCTAAACACACCTCTGGTAACCTCTGGTGTGTGTGTTGCAGGGAAGCTGACCCAGATCGTGTTCGGACACTGGGACGTGGTCACGTGTCTGGCGCGGTCAGAGTCCTACATCGGCGGCGACTGTTACATCGTGTCGGGATCTCGAGACGCCACGCTGCTGCTGTGGTACTGGAGCGGGAGGCACCACATCATCGGGGACAACCCTAACAACAGTGAGTGTGACAGGGACAAGCCGAAAGAGGAACGAGAGATTAGCAGAACTCGCCCATATTTGGGCATCGTCTGGTCCTCCAGGTTCTGAGCAGTGGACGAGCTCCCATGATGCTTTGCGCCAAATACACGTGTGTGACTCTGATGCATGTGCACAGAGGTTCGGCAGCGCTCTGACCAATCAGAGCTGCTCATCAGAGCGGAGTCAGAGCGGGAAGGAAAAGAGCAGAGTTTGTGGCAGTAAATTGTGGATTTAAAGAAAACTGAAGGATTTAAGAAGAAAAAAAGTTCAGGATGACAAGGGACACTAAAACCCCCACAAAATCCGAGCTTTATGAAAGCTGTAGGTTCTCTGTCAGCTGAGGTTGAGCTGTTTTAGTTTACATTTAGTTCTAATGGACTTTTTTCTGGGTAGCCCACGTGAATTTAGTCTGCAGTAGAGCCCTGCACGGGCCTATTATCTGGGCCCGAGCCCGGCCCTGGCCCGAGGGGGTGGCGCCCCAGCCCGGCCCGGCCCGATATGGTTTCTGAATTTTCAGGCCCGAAACCCGCATCAAGCCCGCCTTTTTTTTTTTTTTTGTAACCTCCCATAACAATGTTTTAGCGTAGTATATAGTGCCGCGCACTGATATGAACGCAGACTTAGCTAGAGGGCGGAGTTATACATGGTAGTGATGTGTTGCAATGAGTTCTGTGTGTGCGGAGTGAACGGCCGCAGCTGTATGATGCCCCCGATGCTGCAACACATCTGCACATTACATAAGTAATGCTATGTGCCGTCAATGACAACACTACACAGAACAACAAACACTACAGCGTGATAGAACGCTATATTCAGTGGGTGCGCTCGTAAATGTATTCTGCCGCTCTGAAAATGAAGAGCCCGAGCCCGGCCCGTGTCCGAGGTCATTATGCGGTCATCGGCCCGAAGCCCGGCCCTCGGGCTGTCGGGCCGTCGGGGCCCTCGGGCCAAGGGCTCAAGTGCAGGGCTCTAGTCTGCAGTACCACGGCGCCCCCTGTGGCCATGGGTGGTACAGCTGTAAGCTAGTAATACCCTATCCAGGTATTATTATAGATCCATGGACGGGGATCACAGGGAACGGCTGCGTTGGATGGTGATGTCACATAGCTGTGTTTTCTACAGTCGTCAATCATCACCGTCATTGTGGCTGTCATTTAGATTTTGTTTACGTTCCTGAAAGCATGAATATGTATGATACAGTAGATACAGTGTGTGTGTGTGTGTCTGTCGGTGTGTATGTCTGTGTGTGTGCGTGTATGTCTGTGTCTGTCAGTGTGTGTGTGTGTGTATGTGTCTCTGTATGTCTGTCTGTGTGTGTGTCTGTGAATGTGTACGTGTGTGTACATGTCTGTGTGTGTGTCTGCTTTTTATAACCCCTTTTCAAACTTTGTGTTTCTGTTCACTTTTATATCCTGCTTTTTTATGTTGAATATAAAAGTCACATACACGAGTTTGTAGCTGGATGGATGTAGTGTGTTGAGTTGTGGTGTGTTGTGTTTCCAGGTGACTACCCGGCTCCCAGGGCGGTGCTGACGGGGCACGATCACGAGGTGGTGTGTGTGTCTGTGTGTGCGGAGCTCGGCCTCGTCATCAGCGGAGCCAAAGGTCAGTGTCTCCGTCACCTTTCACGTCTGTAGATCAGGTTTCTCAGACAGAAGCAATCGTCTCTGAGAAACATAACGACTGAAATAGTGACTTATTTATGAAAAAGTACTCACAGCTTAAGCACAAAGATGAGATAAACCTGCATTTGTCGCACTGTGGGGAAATATCAATGTCATCGATGCACATTACTGAAGAATAGAAGGAAATAAGACACTCAGGATTTAATATTATACATAAAGATAATCACTTTATTTTTATTTTTTTTAACACTGCGGATTTATGATTGCACTGATGTTCAAACTGAAGTCACCTGCCGACTCTATACTGTAGCTCTTTTCATGAGGTTTTTGCTTTTTTTTTTATTGTACTTTAGCATCAGAGAATATGACCAGAAATATAACCAGGGGCGGCACGGTGGGTGAGTGGTTAGCACTCTCGCCTCTCAGCAAGAAGGTCCTGGGTTCGAATCCTGGTCGGAACGGGGTCTTTCTTAGTGGAGTTTGCATGTTCTCCCCGTGCTTGCGTAGGTTTCTTCCGGGTACTCCGGTTTGATTGATGATGTGATTGACAGTGAATGATCAATTATCAGATGGATGCTATATGTAATGATAGAGTAATTCAATCCATGTATTGTATTTTTCGGATTATATATATCGGTTTTTGTCATAGTTTGGCCGAGGGTGCGATTCTTACTCTGTAGCAACTGAAATGATTACATTTTATATTTTACATTTTATTTACCTTTGGAGTTGGCGTTGTTCAGAAGTGACACAGAGACACTGAGTGAACTTGTAGCATGTTCTTTATGCTACATTTATGTTATATGTTACTTAAACAAACCAGGGACGTTCTCAGTTCGTTGTTTATGTGTCCTATGTGGCTGAGTGGTTAGCTCTCTGGGTTCAAATCCCAGTCGCGAACAGGGCCGTTCTGAGTGGAGTTTGCATGTTCTTCCTGTGCCTGCATGGCTATGCTCCATACCACTAAAAACATGTACAATAGGTAAAGTCCTCCAGCTCTGGTCCGGACCAATCTGGGTATCAACATCTGGAGATGGGTCCCGGGCGCTGTTACTACGGCGACCACTGCGCCTGACATGAGCCTTAGGGGCATCAGGATGGGTCAAATGCAGAGGATGAATTGCCCTGTACAGGGATCAATAAAGTGCACCTTTACCTTTACAATCTTCAGCCTGTTGTTCTCTATTCTATTTTTATTTTAAATTGCCTTTCAAGATTAAATCTCTTTTCTTGGTGTTGGATTTTATCAAACAAATTTCCCCCTAAAATCCAATATTATAATTATATATGGTTTTTTCTTTCTTTATTATGCATTTCTGGTTGGTGAGACTTATACTTGTGCATGTGTGTGTCTTGCAGAGGGTCCGTGTCTGGTCCACACCATCACCGGTGACCTGCTGAGGGCGCTGGAGGGTCCGGAGCTCTGTCTCTGTCCTCGGCTCATCTCTGTGTCCAGCGAAGGCCACTGCATCATCTACTACGAGAGAGGACGATTCTGCAACTTCAGCATCAACGGGAAACTGTTGGCTCAGATGGAGGTCAACGACTCCACGCGGGTACAACCTCCGCTGGCTCAGGCTACACATGCTAACACATGCTAACACATGCTAACATTTGCTAACACACCGGTGCATTGCCGAGCCTTCTGGGATGTCTGTCTGTTATCTTTAGAACATTCACTCCAAAAGATTCACTAGATGGCATCTCTGGATTTGGTGCTGATTTCATTGTGTTTGGTTAAAATGGGAGAGAGAGAGAGAGAGATAAAGAGAGAAACAGAGATATAGAGAGAGATAGGTGGAGAGATAGAGAGAGAGAAAAGAGAGAGATATAGAGAGAGAGAGGAAGAGAGAGAGATATATAGACAGAGATGGGCGGAGAGAGATAGAGAGGAAGAGATAGAAAGAGAGACAGACAGAGAGAGGAGAGAGAGATTTAGAGATAGCGAGAGAGAGAGAGAGGAAGAGAAAGAGAGAGAGAGAAAGATCGATTTTTAGATTGACATAGAGAGGGATAGGTAGATCGATAGAGAGGTAGATATAGAGAGATAGAGAGAGAGATGTGACGTTTGGACCGTGCTGTTTCTCTTCAGGCGATCCTTCTGAGCAGTGATGGTCAGAACCTTGTGAGTGGAGGAGACAACGGCGTGGTGGAGGTGTGGCAGGCCTGCGACTTCAAACAGCTTTACATTTATCCAGGCTGCGACGCCGGGATCCGCGCCATGGACCTGTCCCACGACCAGAGGTGAGACCACGAGGGTCTGAGAGAGATCTGAGGCTGATCTTATGTTTCCACCTTCTGTGGTAGATTCAGTCCCGCAAAGACGGTAAAATGGCCTGGATTCTTTACCAAATTCTGTATTAAAAAATGCCAACAGTAATTCTAACATTTCAGTGAGTCATAATAACTAGGGCCAGGACTCTAGTCTCATTCATTAGAGGCTTCTTTAATCACATACAAATAATGTGTTTTATTTTTCAGAATCAGAATCCTTTTATTGCCATGTGAGTAACAAGTCACAAATTAGGAAATGTCTTTGGCTCTCGGTGCAAACAAGTTAAAGCAGAATGAAATCAAGAAGACATAAATAAAAATCTACATAAATGTCAAGTGCACTAGGTGCACACAGTAGATCCTTAAGAGTGCGGTGGAGTGACAGTCATAAGGGAGGTCAGAGGTGGATTGTAAAGTGTTCATGAGTCCAACAGCAGAGGGGAAGAAACTGTTCTTATGGCGGGAGGTTCTAGTCCTGATGGACCTTCTTCCTGAGGGGAGAGGTTGGAATAGTCCATGTGCAGGTGAGAGTCCAACATCAGTGACAGTGAAGTAGACATGAATACATTTTACAGGCTCCTTTCGTCTACGAGTGAATAACACTCTCACTTCTCAGCAAGAAAGAACTGGGTTTACTCCCAGAGTCTGTGTAGACGGTCCTGACCAAGCCGAGCCTCAACATCTGGAGATGGGTCCCAGGCGCTGTTACTATGGTGACCACTGCCCCTGATGAAAGCCTTAGTGGCATCAGGATCTGGGTCAAATGCAGAGGATGACCCGACAGGGAAGTGATCTACAGTTGAGTGTGATCCAGTGAGCCCAAGGGTTCTCACAACTTTCCCACTGGGTTGCTGAGTGGTTCCTTTGCAGATGCAGGAGGGTCTGAGGGCTGTGAAGATCCAGGACATTTAAGGACCATGATCCTCTCTGTCTCTTTGGTCCTATCTGTCTCCTTTGTGTTTGTTATTATTGCATTTCCTGTGTATTTCCTGTACCAAAGTAACCATTGTTTCCCGCTCCTAGGACCCTGATCACCGGCATGGCCTCGGGCAGCATCGTCGCCTTCAACATAGACTTCAACCGCTGGCACTACGAGCACCAGAACCGGTACTGACGCAGCAGAGACTGAGACCAGACTGGACCCGGATCACGGTCCTCACTCTGGAACGATGGGAGCGGCGGCGGCGGCAGCAGCGTTGGCGGACCCTTCTCTGGCAAAAAGTCCCCAAGACTCGCACCAAAAAAACTGGCTCAGAACGAAGAGAAGGAGACAGAGAAGAAGAAGAAGGAGGAGGAGGAGGAGGAGGAGGAGGAGGAGGAGGAGGAGGAGGGAGGAGGGAGGAGGAGGGAGGAGGGAGGAGACCAGGCGAGCCTCAGCGAAATTGCGGCAAGAAGCGACTTTTTAGACTTTTTCTTTCGCATTTCCTTCTTTTCTTACGAGGTGGTCTCCTGTATTCCAGTTTCCGTTTTTCGGGTGGACTCTCACAAACTTCTGAAAACATCTGAAAGTCAAACCAGCCCCACCCGCTTTAGACATACAGGTGCCCGAATCGTGAAAATCACAAAACGCTTAGGATTTGTATTTAAGTTAATTTCTACGTCTTGCGTCTGATTTGTTTGTAAATACTGCGGCTTCTGCGGCGGCCTGTTCTCTCACCACACAAACTTACGCTTTTCACCTTTAATTTATGAATGACTTGTATGTAATATATTGTGTAATAATTATTATAACGTTGACAAAGGCCGACGGGGGAAGCAAAGATTGGTGATTGTTCCGATGGTCAGGATTGTGCCAACGCCGAGAACCACAAACATGAACAAATGAATTCCTTTGTAAATTCAGTGGTCGTTTTTGTCAAATATTGTACATATTTAGTCCGCGGAGGCGAGAAAGCGCAACCTTCACTTAAAAGACACACATTTGTTGATTATTTGAACGAAAAAATAAAGTCAAATTAATGTCCAAGATTGTTTTTTTTGTATATGCACTTTGCACCAATCACATATCATTATTTATTAGCTTCTTTTACGGCGGCCATTTTGTTTTTCGGTCCATTTTTTGGGGGTTTTTTGGGTTTTTTTCTTCCCCGACGAATGATTTGTGCATTTGATGTTTGTATTTACAGCGTTGAGCTCATGAGTGGTTTTTGTTTTACAACCTCCTCGTTGTAAGCAATATCACCATCGTGTAGCGGAGGGCGAGGGCGGCCGCGGACGTAGAGAAAAGCCATGGGGATGAAAACGCGCACATGCACACACGCTCTGTCGCCAGGTTCAACTTAACCAATCCAAAAAAAAAGGTGAAATATTTTTGGATCTATGAAACCCTTAAAAACTATTGTATTCATGTTTTATTGCAAAGATGTAAAATATGACATGTGTGAGTTGGAAAAAAATCATAAGAAAAATAAAATATGCAAAGGATTTCATGACTTGACTTTTCATTGGTCATGTGAGTCATCTTTATTTGTATAGCGCATTTCACAGACAATAAATCAGCCAAAATAGTATAGAGACAGATTTATGTGTTTTTGCCACTCCACACCAGGTGAGACTTATGCATTCTTACTTATAGTACGTGTTCATAGTAGTAGGGGTAACCGGAGCACCTGGAGGAAACCTGCGCATACACATGCAACAAGCCTGGACCTTCTCGCTGTGAAGCACAAGCTTTAGCCGCTGTGCCACATAATCGTACACTGCAAAAAATGATAAAATATATGGTAATAAAGGCTTAAAGTGGTTTTTATTATAATTTTAGCACATTTTGACTTTCTAAAAATAAGATTTTTTGATGGAACAAGCAAAAATGTCTTGTTTTAAAAAGATACAAGACAATTCAAGAAATGTCTTCCTTGAAATATGACCAAACGGCTTGTTCCATCGGAAAGTCTGGTTTTAAGAAATAACGTTTGGGATAAAAAGACTTGATTCAGGCATTTTTTACTTTTACTATAATTTGTGACTTTTTACAGTGTATGTGGCAGACCTGGAGTTGTGTTTGAGAGAGAGAGACTGAAAGAGAGGGAGAGAGAGAGAAACATAGAGAGGAGAGAGACTGAAAGAGAGGGAGAGAGAGAGAAACATAGAGAGGAGAGAGACCCCATTAGAGGCCATTGGAATGTGCAGCCTTACTTGAAACCATGCTCAAAATTAAAGAAAAAAGCCAAAAACAATGACAAAAGAATGTTTACAGTTCCAAAGCATATTTTGTCTTTTTCCTCACAACAATTCTGAAACAAAAACTAATGTGAATCACTCCAAAAACCAGTCAAAAAATGATTGAAAGGACTGACAAAAAATAACAAAAATCCAGTTGATTTAACACCGTGATCTGTTTCACTGTGGACTCACTCAGACCTGGACTCTACAGTAATGAGTGGGATTTGACTTTAGACTACAGTCCACAGTCCTCAGTCCTCAGTCCTCAGTCCTCAGTCCTCAGTCCTCAGTCCTCAGTCCACAGTCCTCAGTCCACAGTCCTCAGTCCTCAGTCCTCAGTCCTCAGTCCTCAGTCCCTGGAGTCTAGGATCATGTTTCCACAGGCTCCATGTAAAGTAGATCCTTCTCACTTCCTCCTGACGATCTCCTGTCGCTGCAGATTCTATGTTTGTCTCTGTCTTTGGATGAGTCACAAAATCCATCTATTTTATTGTACCCTCGAACATTTTGTGTTTTAGCTGTTTTGAGAGAGAGGGAGAGAGAGAGGGAGAAAGAGAGGGAGAAAGAGAGAGAGAGGAAGAGAGAGAGAGAAGACCAGGTTAGAATCTAAGTTTAGACGTAGAAACAAATGTTTTCAAATGCATTATTCAAATGTTGTATGTTTTATGAATTATTATTATTATTATTATGGAGAGGCAGCATTCATGCGGCAAAAATCTGGAACAGTCTTCCCCAAAATGTAAGACAGGCTTCTACTCTACACTCCAAAAAGTGATGAAAAAAAACATGTATCATAATTTGAACACATTCTGACCTCATATTTGATCATTTTTTTCAGTGTACTACTTGCAATCCAGGTTAACACAGTTCTGTTTAGCTGCAACAACTGAAGGATTTTATCGGTTCTCCTTTTATGTACTGGGATTATTTATGATTTTAATGACTTCTGTGAATTCAGAATTAATTTCCAGGAAACCTCAAAGTGCTACAGATTAAAAGACAAAACCACAAACAAACAAAACAAATTTGATTTCAGGTCCAAGCTTCAAAGTGATTTAGTAAAAAAGATGACCCACCAAATGAGGGTACTTTATCCGTTTAGCATTTTTAGGATTTTGACTGTAGTTTGTTCATTGCTATTCACCCGTTGTCCCATTGTCTGTTTCATGGTACGATGACGGGATCTCTGAGCCTGGCCTCTTCCATCTACACCTGCGGACTGCCCCGCCCGACCCGCCTGGGAGTGCTTCGGTCCTGCACCGGACCTGTCCACGTTCAGCGGCCACTGGTCCACGTTCTGTAGCTAGCTTAGGTCCTAGATCATTAGCCTGTCCGTCCGGAGGAGCATATCCCTTTCTCATATGGGTCTCCCTCCCTGTGGGTTTCCCTAGTTCTCCCCAAGGTTTCTCACTTTTTCCCACTGGGTTTTTTAAGAGTTTTTCCTTGTCGATGCAGGAGGGTCTTGTTGAACAGTTAGTGTCCAACAGAAAGGATTGGTGATGATCAGGACACTTTAGCATTCTACAACATGTATGGACATTTTCTTCTGTGTGTGCTTTATATTCTTCATGTGTTTTAACTGTTGATTCTCTGACCTGTGTTGGTGATTTCAATGGTTTTGCTAAGTCCTCTGAGATGACTTCTGTTGTGACCTAGGGCTATACAAGAATAAATTGTATTGTATTGTATTGTACTTTTTTCCTGATTTGATTAGATTCACAGCCTTTTTTACAGCCATTAAATAAAAAAATAAAAAAATAAATACAATATAATTCTGTGCATATGAATGACTGTATTTCTAGAACACTGGTAGAAGGGCCCACTAACACCATGTGATAAACGTCTGGTGTTTACTACATGTATCAAACCAGGTGGAAACTGCAGCTGCAATTTTAACGCTTCAGTTCTTCAGGAAATGAGTTTGAGAAATCAGTTTGCTACGATGACACTGGAAGCTAATCACTTTTAGACAAACGCAAACCATCGAGCAACAAGCGCTAATGCAGACACTGGACTGAGGCTAACGATTCATAAACTATCATGCTAATCTGCTAATATGCTAATAATAATAATGATAATAATACATTTTATTCACAATGTATGTTATATTTCCAGGAAACCTCAAAGTGCTACAGATTAAAATACAAAACCACAAACAACAAAACAAAGCAAAATAATCAGATAAATACATCAAAAATGCTAATATGCTAATAACGCTAATATGCTAATAAGGCTAATGACGCTAATTAAACACCTGGTTGTTCTTTTGATGAATAGATGACTTGTTTGGAGCAAAAATATGAAAGTCAGCTCAGAGTGAAGCCTCCAGCGTTTTGCAACACGTCTAAGAGAGAGCCCTGTGAGCTTAAAGTGGTCCTCTATCTTTCACTTTTCTGTCTGAATTAGCTCAAGATGTGACAGATGCCGCGGGGCGACAGTAGCTCAGTTGGTAGAGCATTGGCCTTAAGGCCTGAAGGTCGTGGGTTCAATTCCCACCTCTACACCTTCTCCACCGACTCCCACTGATGACTGCTGTCGTTGTGTCCTTGGGCAAGACACTTAACCCCACTTTGCCCAAAGCCCCCACTGAAAGATCAAGGCTGTGCTCACACTCAGAGAGCAGCCGTCCTCCTGTGGACTCACCACTTGCAGAGGGTCAGTGAGGGGCTGGTGCTATGAGACTTGGGTGGCATCTCTGACTGCCACCCCCCTGACCCAGAAATGGATTAAAGGGTAGAAAATGGATGGATGGATGGATGTGACAGAGGCCGAAGATTTACATGTGAAAACTACACTGGTTTAAAGTGACACACAAGTGACATGTAATTTCTAACGTTCTACCGGTCATTTTCTCTTGATAACTGACCTCTCAAAACAATAATGACCGCTGCCCATGGCCTCTGCTTGTAATTCAGATGTGTATTCCGGCCACAAATACCAATCAATCAACAC